GTGGCTGCTTCCAGGGCCTTGGGTAACAGAGTGGGTCAAGCAGGGGGAGGGCGAAAGACTGTGTTTTTAACTCCAGATCAAAGGATATTGAAGTGGAAGGTGCAAACTAGGTGTGTAGGTGCATTTTTGAGAATAGCAGCATCATAGTTTCCACCGGATACAGCAAGTCCCTAACACATCTCCCTCCCAAATAAAAACGGCCAAGACAGAATAAAGTGCGCCTAAGTCACAGTTATCGGGCACCTCGTTCTTTCAGCGAACTATGATTTGTCAAACCCATGCGCACCGCTGACACTCCCTTGACGGCTTGTGTAGCCTTGACGTTGAGCAGCCGCGGGAAAAATCTGAGAAGAGTCAGGGGCGGGTGCGCCAAACGCCCGCGCTGCCACAGGCCTGAATCCTCCCCTCTCCTTCGGGCAGCGGAGGTCACAGGCTCCGACTGGCCCGTGTTTTCCGTACAGAAGCGCTGGAGTTGCAGTTCCAGGGGTGGGAGGCCGGGTGCAATTGCTCCGCGGAGCCCTTCCTGCTGGGTCAGCCGCCCTGCTCAGCCGTGCACCGCAATTTGTCCGACAGCGCGGGTTCCATTCTCTGAATAACCTTCAGCAGGTGCCGGAACTGGTCCTCATCCTAGCTCCCTCCGCGCCCTCGCCGGAGGGATAGACACAGGAACGCTTCACACTGGTGTTTAATCTGTCGTGATGGGTGGCGAGGCATGCGCCCAGGTAGCCAGCGTTGCGCTCACTCACGGGGGTGGGGTTGATTTTTTCTCCCGGTGCTTTGAAAGGAAGGGCGGCAAGCTAAAGAAGGAGCGAGATCGAAAGGGTCGCTCCCCAGGGGTAGGGGGCTCCCTATTCCGGCCACACCGGGGTGTTCCAGGGGCAGCCCTGGCCAAAGACTGCACCTGGCTGCTCTAGGGCGCCTGCGCTCTCCCCTGTCTCAGCGCCCCGGGCGCTGTGGGAGCCGCTTACTCCACCCGCACCACTTTCTCTGGGGCTGGTAGATGCCAGATGCTGAGCCCTGAACTCGCCTGCGAGCTGGTAGGGCCCCTTCTGCGCGTCCCAGCCATTTATTCCATCCTGCAATTAAACCCGAGGTCAAATATCTCCTTAACGACGCTATCAGGCCAGTGGCTCATTATGGCGTATATTTAGCCATAAAATATGGGTTGTAGTGAGGAGGAGATGAAAATTATTGTGTTCTGGGAATGAATCCTTTTAGCAGAAACCAGAGCTGTTATTTACCACGGAGAGCTAAGTACAGGCTTAGTCTTCTAGGCGACCCCAGCAGGATCAGCCGCTCTTCCAGGCCCTTTCCGGCTGTGCCTGTGCCTGTGCCCCCGCCACAGGCCTGGCACCGGCGCGCTGACTGTGCGCCACTTAGTGCATCCCAGAAGGAGCCGCTCTGGTCGCGGAGGAAGAACGTCCTCATGGAGCCTTAGGGCGCTTATGGATGTTGTTCTGTCTCAGTTCCCAAATTCGGATCTCCCTGCAGCCCACTCGCCTAGTCTGTAGTGGGAAAGCCTTTCGCAGGATGGTAAGAAGATGGTGTGCTAGCCATGGCTTACTGTGGAACTATCTGGAGCTTGGTAGAGTCAGTACACCTGGCTTCTTGAGAGGCTCTACTTCTGACTGCCATGGGTGGGTTAGTTAACCTCTCTTGACGTCAGTGACCTCATCTGTAAAATGGGGGAAAGGCCATGCCTTCTCCCGAAAGCTTAGGAGAATTAAATCCGACGTTAATCTGAAGCCTGTAGCCCAGTGCAGGGTGCAGAGAAGTTTAGTTCGTGGTGACCAAAGGACAAATCACGAGGAAGGGGATAAAAATAAGTCTTTGGGCTGCTGATATGAATGCATGAATGAAACCACTCATGTAAGGGGCTGTCAGTGATTTGGAGTCCAGGATTGGACAGCCCTAGGTTTGGGTGGGGCCCAGACTATCACCAGCGGTGCCCACCAGCTTGGGTAACTTTTTTCCCTTGTGCAGGATCCCCACCTGCCTGCAGGGTTGGACAGTCTTAGCTTTGTGGGCCGGGTGAGGGCAGACCATCACCCTGGGCAGTACCTGCTCTGGAAACCTGCTCAGAGTTGTGGTGATTTGCTGAGATCGTGCTCTCTGGTGATCAGCAGTGCTCACCGCAAGAGGAGTTGCTCACACATGCTCTCGTTCCCTGCTGCCTGCCCCACCAACCCCCGCCAACATCCTGATGTCCAGGTGGCCCCAGTTGAAACCAGAAGCTTCCAGACACACCATCGATGTTCAGCTTCATCCTGGCAATGCTGGGGAGATGGGAATTGTGTGCAGGGACATCCCCAGATTTAACCTCTCAGGAAGTGGCCGGGTGACCCACAAGCTACAAATATTTGGACAAACCAGATGAGGGAGTCCCCAGTCTAAATGTTTGCCCAAGGCCTCCAAGGGGGCAGATTAATTATAAGGCTAATGGGCCCCCCAGGCAGGGCAGTTGTGTCCTAGAGGAAAGTGGCCATGTCCCCCACCCCCACTGGCCAAGGCCCAACTTTTCTGGCTTCCAAGCTGGGCAAGACACCAGAACTTCCATCCCTTCCCTATGTATGTCCTGCTTAGAGATTCTGGGAGCTCCTGCCAGATAGATGCAGGCTGTGCTGGGACAAGAACAGATTCTACAGACCCACTCCCGTGGACACACACACACACACACACACAAGTACCCTGGCACTACCTTCTTAGGGCAGCCTCCTCATATCCATCTGAATACAGAGAAAGCAGCAAGTCCTGGGCAGCTTTCTGAATTTCAGTCCTGGCAAGGAAAGGATGCCCGTGGCCCTTTCTGGAGTTTCCTGCCACTCTGAGAGGGAGGCACTGGGTGGCAGTGCTATGTGACCGTGGCCACGTCCTGCTCCATCTCTGGCCATCTGTTTCTTCTTCTGGGAAACAGGGATTCTTGTTAACTCTCCAGAGACCAGGTCTTTTGCCTGTAGCATTTGATGGTGCCATCATTTTTAATCATTTTGTCTTTCTCTGCAGTGTCACCTTCATCACCACCACTGTCACCCTCATTAAGCACACACCAGTTTCTTCACAAGCATTTAATCATCACACCTCTCCAAGGCAGGTGGTATTGTCCTCATTTTCCAAGTGAGGAAATTGAGGTTCAGAGAGGTTGAGTAACTACCCCAGGGACACACAGCTAGTGAGTGATGCCACACTTGTTACCTCTCTGCATCATTTGTGCTCATTGATTGGTGATTAGGGATCTGAGTGGGAGATTTGTTCTAAAGTGACCCTGGCACCCATGGCTAGGGCAGGGGTTCAGGGGAAATGCAACAGGTTTAATTATGTAGATCCACCATTTAACTTAGAGTTTCTATTAAACGATGCTGCAAGATGTAACGTTTGTTTGTCAGTTAATATAAATTTATGGCTTATTGCTATAAAACAACGTGCATTCAGAGCTTGAGTTTCACTGGGTTGCATCCTTTATTCCCTGGGAACTCTGAGGAGGGAAGATAGGCTGCAGGCAGCTAAGGGTTGGACAGACTGCTGGGTGACTCCACTCATCTTCCTTACCCTCAGGTGCGGCTAAAAGCTCTAGCTCAGACCAAGAGGGGTCCATGTCCGAAACAGGCATCACTGCTCCGAACTGGCTTCCTTGCTACTGTTCAGGTTGTTTTGTTGCTGGGAGGGTCCCCCATCTGAGATGACAAATGTGACAGATACTCTTGGAAGTACATGGTCTATTAGTCACAGCAAGAGAATCTGCCACCCAAAGCCTTTATTTCATTGGAAACTTGTTTACTGTCCAGCGAGCTGGCTGCTCTGACGAGGAGCCACAAGTACAATACCCCCATTGTGTCCTTCAGGACCTCAAAATTGCAGTTCTTACACAAACTCAGTTCTTGTTGTGAGAAAGGTTTTCTCTATGCTTCTTCCCCTCCAAGAGAGAGATTGAATGCTTTCCTTGTGTAAGGCTCAATCAAGCCGTGGAGGCAATAATGGGAGATGCAGGAGGATTAGGCTCCCTCAGGCAATCTTTTCCCTTTGGGGATCATACTTGGGCTTGTTCTTTGGGTTTAACACAGACGCTTACAGCTGACCCATAGGGAGACGGACACTGGGCACAGCCAGCCAGCATCTGGCCACAGGGAACCCTCACTCACTTTGCAAGGCAGTGCCCGATGTTTATGAGGCACTCCCTGAGTGCCAGGCACCAGGCAGAGTGCTGAGTCTATGATCTCACTCAATCCCCGAAGCAGCATAACGGAGGACGCTTCATATGAGAACATGGAGGGAAGGAGAGGTTGTGACTCGCCCAAGGGCACCCATTAGTGAGTGGTGGAGCCGGGTCTCACACAGGCATTCGGTTCCAGACCCCAAGTTTGCAGGGCACCTGGCATGTGCTCATCGCCACCACTGACACTGAACATGAGATGCAGGGCACGTGTGCAGGATGAAGGAGCGTCGACAATAGTGCATGGGATTGGGGCCTGGACTGGGCAGTGTTCAACTAAATCACTAAATTTATACACATCACATTTATGGTAAGCAGTTGACTGCAGAGCACCCTAGAATCACTCTTGAAGTTCTAACCATTGCTTTCCAAACAAAAGAAAGGACGGGCGTGTCTGTTTGTTGTGTGTTTTCGAGCTTGTGACTCATCTGGAGCATCTGTTCCTCATAAGAGCACTTTTCCAAACAGGATTTGTGAAGAGGTGACCCAAATTTCCAGACAAAGTTGGATGCAAACCGATTTGCCAGCAATTGCGTCACTGTCAAAACCAGCTCTGCCCGTGTCTTCCGAAGATACCAAGTGAAATACGTATAGATGTGATTTACATCTGAGAAACCAAGGCAAGAGGCCGTCGGAAGGGCCGGAGGTGGAACAGGACTGGACGGGAGCTGATAAATGGTTGTTTCTGAGTACTGGGCAGATAGGGATTGGTTATCCTATTTTCTTTACTTTCATATATTTCATTTTTTCTGTAACCAAAGCAAATTAAAATCACTTGTCTTGATCTCACAGGGGCCAATGTGGGTTGTGGAGTGAAGCAGGAAGCTCTGCAGAGTTCCTTGGTCAAAAGGATGAATTACAAAAGAACCCCACGAACACCAAGAAGAAGAGAAGGGAATCCTGGGTATTTAAAGCCACAAAGAAACTTGATATGGTCTTGTCTCCTTCTCTCAACTGACAGTGAGAAACTGAAGACCAGAGAGGGTGAGTGGCTTACCCAGTTTGGCAGTCAGGTTAGTAGGTTAGTGATAGCACCAGGACTAGATTTCAGAACTGACATAGACTGCTGGTCCTTTTTTTTTTGAGATGGAGTCTCACTCTGTCGCCCAGGCTAGAGTGCAGTGGCGCGATCTCGGCTCACTACAAGCTCTGCCTCCCAGGTTCATGCCATTCTCCTGCCTCAGCCTCCCCAGCAGCTGGAACTACAGGCGCCGCCACCACGCCCGGCTAATTTTTTGTATTTTTCAGTAGAGACGGGGTTTCACCATGTTAGCTAGGATGGTCTCAATCTCCTGACCTCATGATCCGCCCCCCTCGGCCTCCCAAAGTGCTGGGATCACAGGCGTGAGCCACTGTGCCCAGCCGAGCCACTGCTGGCCCTTTTTAAAACCATATCATGCAGCAGAAAAAACTAATTTAGTGTTTGCTGTTTGTCTTGCTCCATTTGGGCTGCTCTAATGAAGTGCCATTGACTCTGTGGCTTGTAAACAGCAGACGATTGTTTTCTTACAGTTTTGGAGGCTGGAAGTCCAGGATCAGGGTGTCGGCACTGCTGAGTCCTCTTCCTGGCTGTAGGTTTCCATCTTCTTGTTGTGTCCTCACATGGCAACAAGAGCTCTCCAGGGTCCCTTTTATAAGGGCACTCACCCTATCATAGGACTATCATAGGACCTATCATAGGACTCCACCCTCATGAGCAAATCACCTCCCAAGATCCCACCTCCTCATCCCATCACTTTGGGGGTTAGGATTTCAACCTAACCTAATTCCTATTTCACAATAGGAATTGTGAGGGGCACCAATGTTCAGTCCATAGCACTGTGAAATCATCTAAGACAATGTTCAGTCCATAGCACTGTGAAATCATCTAAGACAATGTTCAGTCCATAGCACTGTGAAATCATCTAAGACAGGCAGCCAAATGAGTCTCCTGCAACGTATCTGGAAAAAAAGGTGAGCAACACAGCAAACTCCCTGTACATTCCAAATATCCAATATCTGGTTTGTGTCCAGAGCTTCTAGGTCGTGAGCTGGAGTTTTTCATTTTCTCAGGATGTTTTGGGATTTGCTGACGTATCTGTAGATGCAGTGACTGTACACAGAAGTCACACCTCTTCATCTTTTCAGACTCCTAAGATTGTGGCAGGTGACATGACTAACACACCACTTGAGGTGTTTTGAGTAGATGGGATTTGATACAGGGCTTGAGGTGCTTCCAGGATCACTGGAGAGGCTGTGTTCCACACTGGGCCTCCAGAAATGACTCTGGGAGCAAAGTAGGATTGGCACCAAAGAGCTGTAAACCGGAGGTGAGAGGCAGAAGGTTACCCCTGGAACGGGTGGACTCAAGAATGCAAACAAACGGGGCACAGTGGTTTATGCCTGTAATCCCAGCACTTTGGGAGGCCAAGCCCAGGAGTTCAAGACCAGCCTGGGCAACATAGGGAGCTCCATCTCTACCAAAAAAAAAAAAATTATATATATATATATATATATATATATATATATATATATATATATGAAAACTAGCCAGGTGTGGTGGTGTGTGCCTGTAGTCCCAGCTACTTGAGAGGCTGAGGTGGGAGGATCGCTTGAGCCCAGGAGATTGAGGCTGCAGTGCACTCCAGCCTGGGAAACAGAGCAAGACTTTGTCTTAAATAATAATAATAATAAATAAAATAAGATGAAAAATAACACAAACAACTCTGGTTGCAATCCAGGGTCAGGAAGGCTCTGCCCACTTGCCCCTTGGCACCCCAAGGTGGATGCCTGGATGCTGGAATGCCACCACAGAAAACCTCGAGTTTCTATGCTGTGGCACCAGCAGGACGCATCAGGAGCTGGTCTCTGCCCCAGGTCTCTTGTGACTGCATCTCATTGGTTGAATCTCATTCACCTCCAGCACCTTGGCTGCAAGGGAGCCTGGGAAACGTTTTGTTTTGTTTTGTTTCACTTTCCAGACTAGGAAGATACATCCAAAAAGGAAGTGATTGCGCCACTGCACCCCAGCCTGGGTGAGAAATTCACTGGCAGTGTCAGTCGCTGTCTCCCTGCACTTCATCCGTCTGATATCCCAGTACCTAGTGCTGTACTAGGCACACACTGTACTTCAAAAGGAAGCATTAGTCTGCATTAATTATCACCAGTGCATTCGTCTGTGTATTGTCTGTTCATTCAACAAATATTTAGTAAGAACCAGGCATTGAACTCGTGGTTAACGAGGAGCTTCCATTCTGGTTGGAAGAGGCAGAAGGTAAGCAACATGAATGGGCAAGTCCACGGAAAGATGGTTTCAAATAGAGCTAAGTGCAATGAAGACGGTAAACCAGGTAAGGAGATAGAGAATGATGGCAGGAGGGACACACCTGACCTGGTGCCATTTGAGCCAAGGCTTGCATCGTAAAGAGTCAGACAGGAAACAATCCAGAAGAAGAGTGTTCTAGACAGAAAGCATAGCGCATGCAAAGGCCCTGAGGTCACAGCAATGTGATGTCTTCCAGGATCTGGGAGGAAGCCAGTATAGCTGGGACTGGGGGAGTAGAAATCTGAGAAAGCAGAGAGGATGGAAAGCGAGGGTGGAAAGAGTAGGCAGGGGCTGTGGTGATCTTGCCAGCCTAGTGAGCCTGGAAAAGCATGCATTCTATTCTAAATGGGATGGTTAAGCATTGAAGGTTTTTAATGAGAATGACATGCTCTGTTGGTGGTTTAGACCATGTCTGCAAACTCTCTGATGCTTCTTCTCTGGAAGATGAGGTCTAGGACTCCTCCCCTGGAGTTGGGCAGGCCTATGAGATCGTTTGGATGGCTTGACTCTGTGACTGTCCAGGTTAGGTGAGTAGAGAAGCTTCTGCCTGGGCCCTGTCTCAGGATGCACGCTTTAGGAGCTGCGTTGTAAGGAGTCCTTGTAAGGAGTCCAGCTACCCTGGACTCCTTGTAGAGAGGCCACAGAAAGTCATTCAGAGGCTCAACTGGGCTGAAGGTGCAAGGTTTCTTGCTCATGTGGCCATCAGTGGTGCTTGCTGCTATTGGGAGCTCCACTGGACTGTTGACCAGAGCTCCTCAGCTCACCTCTGTGTATCCTTGCCATGTGGCTAAGGCTTCTAACAACACAGAGGCTGGATTCCAAGAGGAGGGAAGTAGAAGCTTTCAGCCTTCTTAAGACCAGGATTCAGATGTCCCAGACTGTCATTGTATTGACCGGAGCATTTACAGGCCAGCCCAGTAATTTTTCCATCTCTGGGCAAGAACAGGTAGCATATGCCGAGGGTAGGGGTAGCATTGTTGGGGACCATCTTTGGAGCAGTGTGCCAAGGAGTAAATTGCTGGGCTGCTTTCTACCTGGGGAAGTTCACTGTGCTTGCTTGTGGAGAGTGGATTGTGTGCTCAGAGTCCACCAGGATTTAAGAATCAGCTCCCAGCCCTCCTCCCCTTGCCTCAGCCCGTGCATTAGGGCCCTGTGGTGAGAGCACTGAGCCATTGTGAATCAAGGCCTCTCCCTCAACCTGCATACTGACAGGCGAGAGGAGCTTTCTTGATTTTGGTCCTAGGCTTCTGCCTGTGGGTTGGATTCCAGGGGCACTCCGTCCTCCACAAACCAGTGACAGGTGCAGCCCCTCCATGCAAGCTGTCCACACTTCACCCTAAAGACAGATCCTGCTGTTCAGCAGCAATGTGAGTGGCCCACACATTTGCCCAGCATGAAACCGTTTTCAAATTCCTTTCCAATACACAGTCCCATCAGCCAGTCACATCACGATGACAGCTCCTCGAAACACCTTTTGGTTTGCAGTTGCGTAGCTTAGAAGTAGGAGCCTGCACAACTTCAGGACTTCACAGAAAGAACACACTTTGTGCTTCGAGAAGTTAATTATGGGAATATCTTGCAACCTGCTGCTCTGAGCCTGTGCACCTGGGGTGTTTCCCCGGAGGTCCTGTGTATGCGGATACTCATCAGCATGGGGTTTGGGGAAGCCTAGCACTGGAGGCAACCTAGGTGGTGCTCTCCAGGGGAGTGGGTAAGAGCCCTGCAGTGTATGCATATGAGGGGATCCTAGGCAGCAGTGAAAAGCATTGAAGGGAAAGCATGTTGAGCAGTGCTCTGAATCTGATCAGAGCAACCTGAACACATTTTAAACACAGGGCATCTAGAACTAGGGTAGAGGCACTAGAGCACCATAGACACAAACTCACATTCTGAAGGTAAATGTCCAAGTTCCAATCCAAGCCCCCTCGCCAACTGACCACGACTCCCCCAAGTTACCTGACCTCTGTGTTTACATCCTTAAAGTTAAGTAGTCAGGAAAGGGGGCTTGGGGCTTGCTACATGAATGGTTGCCACTCTCCTTTGCAAAGTGTAGTCCCCAAAAACAGGTGGAAGAGGGAAGGGTCCAATCAGAAGGCCGAGTACCAGCTGCCGTGAATATGCCAGAGCTGCTGGCTAGTGATATATAACTCAAATCCGGTGGAACAGCAGAGCTAGGGTGACCTTACATTCTAGGAAAGAAAAGATGCTTGTTGTCCTGGCTTTTTATCCAGCTTAAACAAAGATGGGCAAAGAAAATAATTTAGAAAATAGTAGAGATGAGCACAGAGAAAGGGCACAGATGGAAGCACAAACAGAAGGCCAAGTGATGGTGGAGGCAGACACTGGAGAAATGCCTTTGCAAGCCAGGGAATGCCAAGGATGCTGGTGACCCCGGGAGCGGGATGAACCTGGAACACGCTCTCCCTCAGAGTCTCCAGAAGGAACCGGCCCTGCATCACCTTTGGGACTTCTGGCCCCCAGAACTACACAAGAAAACGTTTCTGCTATTGGAGGCCATCCAGCTGGTGGTCATTTGTTATGGTCACCACAGAAAAAAATATAGATTTAGGCATCTAATTTGCATATATAGATGTGCATGTGTATTTGTTAAATAAAACACAAGGCATAATAACTCAATGGACAACAATACAACTCATTAAATTGTGTTGGTTAAAAAAATGATAGATATCACTCACACATTTTTATGTGCTGGTAAAGAGAAAAATCCAAGACTACATAGGGTTCCTCTTATTTTAATTATTTTATTCTTTTAAACAACAAACAATGTGGCTAAAGCAAACAGAAATTATTTTTTCATGAAACAAACAGGGTTCAATGCACTGAAATGATGAAAATGATCAACCATTCCCACCAGCATGGAAACAGGGCTGGGGTTGCAGACAGTGATGTGTGTGGTGTGCCTCTGTGGGGTTTGGGGTTTTGCTTATTTTGAGGGATGGGAGTAGAAGCCTTTCCGAGAAATGCACACCCAGGAGCGAGTTCCTGGGCCACAGAGCTGGCTCCCTGCTGACTGACTGGTTCATGGTGCAATCCGGGTTTGGGGGCAGCTTTGCTGTAGGCAGGAGCCTCAACCCTTCAGAACAGGATTCCACTCCTGAGACCTCATCTGTCCCTGAGTCTCAGGACACACCAGCCGGAAACTGCAACCCTTCTGTGTCAAGCAAACAGCACTCATGCTTTTGCAATTCCCCAGTGCTCCCAGCACACCTGCAGCGTTTGGGGACACTGTTCTCCGTTTTCTCTGTGTGCTCATCTACTTGGATGCCAGACTATTATCATCATCCTCATTCTACAGGGGAAACTGAGGCACAGAGAGGTTAAAGTCACTTTCCCATTATAGGGACAACAGGACTAGAAACCCAGAGCTCCACCATCCAACTGAAGGAGGAAGGGGGCTTAGCTGCGTGGAAAGGGGGCGCCCTATGGAACACACCCTTGGCTTCACCTTCACCTGTACTTGGTCGCCTCCGTTTCCCCTTTCTATCTTCCTGGGCCTCAGTTCAAGGGCCACCTCCTCAGAGGGGCTGTCCCCACACCAGGGCACCCTCCCCCCACTCCTCCCCATTTTGCTCTCTGCGTGGTGCCTTACTTGTCACTGTCTGAAGTTATCCTGCTTTTGTCAGGGTCCCAGGGGCAGGGAATATTCTCTCTTGTTCCTGGAGATCGTTGCCTCCCCAGCACTTAGTGGAGTGCTGGCTCCCAGGTCCTGGGTCTGCATTCTCGTGGGCTTGGGCCCTGACCTCAGCCTCTGACATTTACATCCATGTCTGGAGTGCCAGGCACATCATATTTTACCCTCGATGGGAACAAGACAGTTGCCCCATTTTGATGTAAGAAGAGGCCAAGTCCCCTGGCCCGGGTCACAGCAACAGGTGAATTGAGAGCCAGGCACCCCTGACTCCTGAGTCCCAGGTTGCAGCCTGGCCTGAGGGCTGGGAAGACTTAAGGAAATTCCAAAGGAACAGTTACTGTTTTTGTTAGAAGTCAATAGCCATGAGACCAGGATGCTGGATGCCCAGGGTCTCGCCATCTGTAGGTTTACACAGATTCCAGAAACGAGGCGACAGGCATGAAGTCACCCCACAAAGGCCAGGCCATCCAAGTAGGACACCCCATGAGAAGGAAGTGGGTTCTGTGCCCGCCTCAGCCTGTAAAAACAGGACAGCAGGGCAGAGGAATGAAGAGTCCCCATCCAAGGGCTCTGCGGGGCTTCCACACCATCCCTGAGCCATCCCCCTTGGGCCTCTGGTGAGCATGTGTGCGTGGGACACTAGGACCCTATTTTTTTAAGCCACTGTGGTCAAGTCTCTCCTACAGCAGCTGTACGTGCTCGGTAACTAAAAGATGCTTGCATGTCTGACTCCTTTTGCATTTCCTTGAGAGGCAGCAGTTACCCCAGGAAGGATTAGGATGTTATGGTTGGAATGCTGAAAGCTTTTGATTTCCAAAACAGGCTATTTGAGTCTGTGTCATCCCAATAGCCCCGCAGTCCTGCATTCTGACCACCTGCCCTTTCCATAGCAGGAGTCAAGACCTCTGAAACAGGTTGTGGAGTTTCACAGAACCCACAAGTAGAGGAATCCCTGCCTGCACCTGCAATGGGAATCCTTCCGAAGGGAAGCCTGAGAGAAGCGAGGTGAGGCTGGGGTGGGTATGGCTGGGTGGGGTGAGGCTGGTGTCCTCAGGGTTGACCCTCATGGGGTAGATGCAATCTGAGAACTCAGGGAGTCTGAGGACTGTGCGACCTCCAAGCAACTACCCTGAACTACTCATTCATGATTTTTAGATAGAGCCGCACTCTCCCCTGCAGGGAGGAGACAAAAATTTCCGAGATGGCAGAGAAAAATAGTCACCCTCATGTGGGAGTGCCCTGGGGCTGCCAAAGAAAATTACCACCACAAACTTGGTGACTTAAAACAACAGAAAGTTATTTTCTCCTAATCCTGGGGGCCAGAGCCTGAAATCAAGCTGTCAGCAGGCCTCTGTTCTCCCCAGAGGCTCCAGGGGCAGCTACTTCCTGCCTCTTCCAGCTCCTGGTGGCTCCAGGCACTCCTGGGCTTGTGTAGCTTCACTCCAATCTCTGTCTCTGTGTCTTCTTCTGTCTCTTATAAGGGCACTGTCATAGGACTCAGGAACCTCTCCAAACAGGATGATCTCATGTCGAAATGCCTAACTGATAATATCTACAAAGACCCCTTTTGCAAAGAAGACCTCACTCACAGGCTCAGGGGTTAGGATGCGACCATCTCTTCTTAGTGAAGAGTCGTGAGGGCTACCATTCAGCCCACTACACCCAGCAGTAGCCGTTCCATGCCCTGCAGCTGCACTGAGATGACAGAAGTTGTTGTAGGAAATTCTTCCATTTTCTTTTCCTGGAAAGCAAAACTAGTGCAGGAAGAAGGGAGGGGAGAGTAGGAGATGTGTCTGGAGTATGGGCTTGGCTGCTGCAGTGCAGATCCTGAATAGGACAGGTCTGAATGAGAAGGAAATTAAGTCTTGCTTGTTCACAGCTCTCCAGGTGTGCAGTGTGCAGGGCTGAGTGGCAGTCCCTGTGTCAGGGATCCAGAATCTCTTGCTGGTTCCTCTGCCAACCATAGGCTGCTGTACCCATCTGCATGGCTCACCTCCAAGTCCTCTTTCTGGCCAAGGGGAGGGATGTCCATGACTAATGGTGAGGTTGTTGCACATTGGCATGGCTGAGAGCCTCCTTCTGGTGCCATGTATTCTAACTGCCTGTATTCTATTGGTTGTTCAATGTTTGGGCTGCCACCCCTGGTATATCCCTCCCCTTGAAGGCATGACCCAGAAGTTATACCTATCACATCCTCTTCCACTCACACCCTATTGGCCAGTATTTGGTCATATGACTACAGCTAGCTGCAAGGGAGTCTGGGAAATGTATTCTTTATTGGAGATGGCCATCTGCCTGGCAGAAAATTCTAATAATGGATACTGGGGAAATGGATAACTGGGTGATAGCTAACATTCTCTGCAAAGGAGGGATCTGACTTTCTGGGACCAGGCTCAGCATCTCCTGGCTCTTCCAATGACTGGGAGACTGCTGGAGAAAGGCTGATGGGTCTTTGCCTGGAAAAGCCCTAGATCTTATGGTGGCCTGGATCCTTGAGGATAGCAGTTATGGGACGTTGCTGGCTTCACTTTGCTTGTTTTTACACCAGCTGATGCCCACTGCCCCAGCATGACAAGGGTTCAGCTTTCTGTCCTTTGAGATGATAGCCCACTCTCTGCCCAAATAGGTGAAGAAAACTGCATTGATTGTACACTTTGGTGCTAGGTACTGTAGCAAGCATTTCTCCATGCATTACTGCTATTTGAGAAGCGGCAGGAGCTCTCTGGCAAACTGCCGTCTGCAAAATAGGATGTAAACAATCCCCCAGAGTAGCCTGCTCAAGGCCTTTGGGGACCTGGGGGTAGCCCCCAGCATGAGTTGGCTGTGGGGTGCTATGTTGCCCAGCAGGCTGTGTGAGGTTACTAGCCATAGGAAGGTAAAACCACCTCCTTTCCTTGGCGATATCCTACTTGCATTGTGTGTTTCAAAGCCTCCTGCCAGACCCCAAACGAAGCACTCACGCCATCCTGTTCTCGTTGTGGCTCAATGATAATAGAGAGTGGACCTGCTCTAGTCCACTCATTCATTCACTTTTTCAGCAGTCATTAATTTATTCAGCAAATAAGAGTATATTCTAAAGGCCAGACCATGTGTTAAATGCGCCAGGCAGCATCTCTGCAGCTAAGCAGTGTGTGATATTATGGATAGACAGGCACAGACATGATTGTATCATGCTAAACTATTATGCTAAAAGTAATGTGAATTGGCCAATAAGGATATGGAAATAGGTCCAGCCTCACTAGAACTGTTCAGGAAATGTGAATACTAATCCCCCAGATACCTACTTCCGGGTATATATCTAGAGGAACTGAAAATGGGGCTGAGCTTGGTGGCTTGCACCTGTAGTCTACCTACTCAGGAGGTGGAGGAGGGAGGATCTTTTGAGGCCAGGAGTTCATTGCTGTAGTGAACTTTGATCACACGACTTCATTCCAGCCTGGGCGATAGAGCTAACCCATCGCTTAAAAAAACAAGAAATGAAAAAACATAAACTGGATCTTGAAGATATATTTGCACACTTATATTCACAGCAGCACCATTCACAACAGCCAAGGGGTGGAGGCACCCCACGTATCCATTGACAGATGAATGGAGAAACCAAATGAAGTAACATTTTTCACCCACTGGATTAATTCTATTATTGGTGGGAGTATCAGTGGCTGAACTCTTTGGTTAAGTAATTTTGGAACAAGCTTAAAATTTTAAATGCATGAATCCTGTGTTACAGCAGTGTCTCATTTGCAAGTTTTGAGAAACGAAAGGAGGTGACAGGTTGGCTTAAGTGCAACAGTGGAACCGCTTAGCACTCTGCCCAGCAACCAGCTAGCACTCAAGAAGTGGCAAAGAACCTTATCATTCCACCAGTGCTGAGAAGGCCTCCCTCCCCTCACACCTCCCAACCAGCTTAGTCGTAGGAGCAATGTTAGCAATCAGGGTTTCCAGAGAAACAGAACACACACACACACTCACATGCACACACACAAACAGAATATCCCCTGCACGCGCACACACACACACACACACACACACACACACACACACACACAGGTTTACAGGGCTGTGGAGGCTGGCAAGTCTGAAATCCACAGGGCAGCCCGGCAGTCTGGAAGCCCAGGCAGGAGCTGATGCTGCGGTCTTGAGGCAGAATTATTCCATCCCAGGAAAACCTCGGATTTGGTTCATAAGGCCTTCACCTGATCAGATGAGGCCCACCCATGCCGTCAAGGGTAATCTGCTTCCCTGAGAGCCGACGGACGGTAGAGGTTAAACACGTCCACCACATACCTTTGCAGCAACATTTAGATGAGTGTTTGAATCGCTGGGCACTACAGCCTGGCCACACTGATGCATAAACCTGCCTGTGGCAGGGGCCAAGGTCAGATCACACCGTCTCTGACTAGGTCCCTCTTCCCTGCAGGCCCAGGCTCTGCCTGTATCTGACATTGGGCCAAGCCTTGTAGCACCACCACTTGGGATTATACTGAGGTGCTGACTGACACTTTAAGGTTTTTGTCTTTCTCTACTTCTGAGCTTATCAATGGGACAAAAAGTCAGAGCCTCGGTCCATTGCTGGCCTTTCAGCCACCTGGCAAGCCCACAGTTGGACAGCCTCCTCCAGAGAGGCACCTTGCCATTGGTGAAAGAAGGGCAGGAAGAGAGGATGAGCACAGCAACACTGACTGAGCATTTATTATGCACCAAGGACCTTTAACCCACTTCTGAGTATTAACTTCTTTAATTATACAGTTAGATACTATTACATTATTACACCCATTTTACAGATGAGGAAACTAAGGCCTCCAAAGGTGAAGCAACTTGCTCAGGTTTTCATGGCTAGAACAGGGAGGGTCAGGATTTGAACACAGGCCCTCTGGCTCTATCTACACTCTGTTCTCTTGATCAGATGTCACTGTCTGTCCCTATGTCAACCTTGGGGCTGACAGCTGAGAACAGGACACACACCCAGGAGTCTTAGCCTCGATCCTGAATTCCTCTTTTGACAAATGGAAACCTCATTCCACTCTTGCCGATGCATCTTCTAATCCAGAGCAGAACATAATCCCCATCTCTTTCCTCTGGAATGTTGGGAGAATTTGTGTCTGTCAAATGCTTTGGAGAAATGTAAGAAGAATGTTTAAAATGCCATATCCTTTTTACAAAAAAAATCAATTATAGGTTTGCCTTTGGGGTAACCCCAAGACGACATAAAATCTCAAACTTTCATCCCACTGGAGTGAACGAAAATAATTACTCCGTTAGGTTTTCAGCGATTGTGCAATTGCCCTGGATTTCACATTCAAATTCCAACCAGGAGGGAACTGCGATCTTGGAGAGAATTCTAAAGAAGTGCCGCGAAGGCACAGGTCTCTTCCACAGGGCCCAGGCCTCAGAGCCAGCAGAAACTGCAAAGCAGCATTTGCAGTCAAAGCAATTCTGACAGCTCCTCTGGTAACTTCACTCTGCAAACTGGAAGAAATTAGCTCTGACCACAGACCATCCGACAGACCCGTATTTAATAATACTTCCCAAATGTGTGAAGCACTTAGTTTTAGAATAACAGGAAGAACGGAATCGCCTGGAACTACAGATTTGAGTTTCATTCTGGCCATCACACCTTCCCAGGAGCCTTGCTCCTCTGGCGTCCAAGAAGGGTGGCCAAAGCCCCGTGCCGCTCCCCTGTGGCCCCCGCCCCAGGTCTGGCCTGTCTCAGAGAAGGGTGATGTTGAGGCTCTGTGCCCTGCACCCCTGGCCTTCTCAAGGCAGAAGTCAGGTCTGCTTGGTGAAGAAGCCCACGTGCCAGCTCGAGCCTGGAAACGTGAGTCTCCACAGATTCCACCAGGCTGCGGAACGGCTACAAAATTGCTCCCTTCCTTCTCAGCTGCTCCTGGACAGCTCCAGGAGGCCTTTCTGACAAGAGAGCATTGTGTCCCATTGGAGCCCTCCCCTGTCACAAAGGGGGCCTTTCACAGCGGCAACTGGGGAGGGTGGGGACCTCGAGGCCCTCTCGTTAACCAGCTGTGGGCACAGTGGCTGTGGCTTGAGCTACCACTACCTGGAACGGACCCTCCTTGGAGACAAACCCTTTATTTGACTTCCAACAGGGAGCTCTCCTGAAGGAGGCCAGCTTGTTTGTTGAGAAGAGAAGTGGTTGGCTACTTACTGCAAACAGATGATACAAAAAGTTCACATATTCCTTCCAAAATAAGGGCTGTGGAGGGATAGATGGGCTTGTGGTGGGAATGGTTTTCAGAAGGATATGCAAGAGATTGACGCTCCTGGTTGTATCCGGGTAGCTGGGTAGTGTGTAGAAGGGACAGGAGCGGAAGAAACTTACATTCTGTCCCTGTGGACTTAGGCATATTGGACTATGTGAACAAATATCTAATTCAAAAATATCCTCACCCTGCAAAAGTCTAAATATATACTCCCATCTCAGAGAGGGAGGGCGGGAGGGGATGCGAAGTCCTGCTGGCTATCCCCGGAGACTGGGCAGGGCGTGTGTGTGTGTGTGTGTGTGTGTGTGTGTGTGTGTGTGTGTGTGTATGCGCGCGCGCACATGTGCCTGGATGTGTGTGAGAGAAGATCTAAAATGTAATTGCTTTCAGCGGAATATGGCCCTACTGTGTAATTAAACCAAGGGGGCTGTCGGCTCCCAGAGTTTAAGCAATTTCATGTGCATTTGGTGATTATGCCTCTCTCCTTGGATAAAAGTGCTGCTTCTATTTTCACCATACACAATACACAATGATTCCCAGACCAGGATGAAGGGTCACCTTCCCTGCCCACCTCGGCATGAGGCTCCCTCCAGCTGGCAATCCGGGAAGGCTGGGCTCCTAGTGGGTGCTGGGAGGGGAGGTCAAAGAGAAAAACTCCAGGAACGTCCACCACCGCCTTGGCCAGAGAGAGAGCATGGCAGCTCTGGGTTTCTCTGGACTGACGGGGCCACTGTGTTCTGCATCATCCGAGGACACACGTGCTCAGCTGAGCCAGTCTTTTATTGCTGGGGGCGTGAGTGTCCCTGCTCTTTGATCCACCACTCCTCTGTGGTTTCTTCTGTGACCCATGGGTTATTTGGAAGAGTGTTCCTTAATTTCCAAGTCTCTTGGGATTTTTTCCAGATATTTTCTTGTTGATGTCTAACTTAATTCCATTGTGGTCGGGGAACATATTCTGGACGTTTAGTCTTCTGCAATGTATTACAACTTGTTTTATGTTCCAGCATATGGTCTGTCTTGACGAATGTTTCACATGCCCTCACAAAGAGTGAGTGTTCTACCCTTGTTGAGTGAGTATTCTATACGTTCCGTTAAGTCAAATGGTGGCTAGTTTGTTCCAATCTTTTATATTTTTACTGATTTCTTTTGCCTACTTCGATCAACTACTGAGAGGATTTTAACATCTCCAATTATGATGGTTGATTTCTTGGTTTCTCCTTTTTTACTATAAAACTTTGCTTTATGATATTTTCAAGCTCTGTTATTAGGTATATGCACATTTACCTATTCACATATGTTAATATACATGTATATTTATTAATTATAGGTTAATATACACATGTATATTTATTAATTATAACATTAACAAATATTAATGTTATATTAATTAATGTGTAATTAATAACATGTTAATTATAACATTATAGTAATATATAATATAAATATAAAATGTATAATTATATGTTAATTATAACATTATAATTATAATTAATAATATATTAATTATAACAAAATATTAATGTTTTATTAATATGAATGTATACATGGATGAAATTATGTATATATACAATATATAATATATGTGCATACAGTACATAGACACACATGTAGAGAGAGCTCACTCCCATCTCTGTGCCCCATTTTCTCAGTTTTTAGCATCTCCTTCTCTCTACCCCCTTCCTGGATAACCACTTTTATTCTTCTAGGATTACTTTATGCACATAAGAGAAAATGCTCTATCTACACTCTGTTCTGCAACTACAGTGGACCCTGAACAACGTGGGTTTGAACTGATTCAACATGGGTTTGAGTCCATGTATCCATTTATATGTGAATTTTTTTCAACCAAACAAGGATGGAAATACAATGTTCATGGATGTGAAATCCACACACACAGTGGGCTGACTGTTGGTATCGCGGGTTCCACAGGGCTGACTGCAGGACTAGAATACGTGCAGATTTGGTATATTCAGGGGTCCTGGAACCAAGTCTCCGAGTATAGCAAGGGATGACTGTATATATATTGTTCCTCCTACAAAAAAGTTAGTGCATCATAGATACCCTTCTGCAGTTTGGCTCTCTCCCTAACAACATACCTTGGTGCTCCTTCCCTATCAGCCCCAAAAGAGCTTCCTCCATCTTGGTGGCAGCTGTCTGATATTTAGTCTACTACCGTTTCTTTAACGAAACTCCACTGATAGACATTTGGCTGGTCACACACACTGGCTGTTATATCATGCGGCCTCTCTCTGTCCCACCTT